GAGGGTTGGGTTGGATTGGATTGGATTGGATTGGATTGGATTGGATTGGATTGGATTGGATTGGACTGGGAGGGAGTCCAGAGGTCATCATTAAATTCCCGGTGCTCCGCCATCCGCCCACTTCCAGCCCATCCGGCCATGTAATCCACTGGAAGACACCCAGGAAAAGTGCCGGCAGCTCATCAGCCCTTCCCTGGCCTCATTCCCCTCCCAGATCCCGTTCCTGGGCTCCCGGAGGTGGTGGTGGTGATGGAGATGTTGGGAAGCCACGGCAGTGCTCAGCATCCCTCTCCTGATCTTCCCTAAGCGGGCTCTGCTCCTGGATGGACACGCTCCACACTTCCCAGTGAATTCCACACTCCTACTCCACCACTCAGTGCTCTCCTGGGTCTTCCAGCCGGGCATGAGCCCAAAAAATTGGCAAGTCATGGGATGGAGGAGGTGGGAAGGGATGGTGGAGGTGGGAAAGGAGGGTGGGAGTTGGAAGGGATGGTGGAGGTAGGAAGGGATGGCAGAGGTGAGAAGGGATGGTGGAATTGGGAATGGATGATGGAGGTGGGAAGGGATGGTGGAGGTGGAAAGGGATGGGGGAGGTGGGAAGGGATGGTGGAGGTTGGAAGGGATGGTAGAGGTGGAAAAGGTTGGTGGAGGTGGAAAAGGTTGGTGGAGGTGGGAAGGGATGGTAGAGGTGGGAAGGGATGGTGGAGGTGGAAAAGGTTGGTGGAGGTTGGAAGGGATGGTGGAATTGGGAAGGGATGATGGAGGTGGGAAGGAAGGTGGAGGTTGGAAGGGATGTGGAGGTGGAAAGGAATGACAGAGGTGGGAAGGGATGATGGAATTGGGAAGGAATGGCAGAGGTGGGAAGGGATGGTGGAGGTGGGGAGAGATAGTGGAGGTGGGAAGGGATGGTGGAGGTGGGAAGGGACTGTGGAGGTGGGAAGGAATGACAGAGGTGGGAAGGGATGATGGAATTGGGAAGGAATGGCAGAGGTGGGAAGGGATGGTGGAGGTGGGGAGAGATAGTGGAGGTGGGAAGGGATGGCG